ATTAGGGTTTGGTAAGAGGAAGATAGAAGTTTTTCTTTAACTAACGAAAGAGATAGTATTCCTGTTTGGGGTGTGATATCCACACACCTTATTTTACTTTTCACACACCTCTTGATAATTTTTGTCCGTCAATCTTCTTCAATTCATCCGATCCGACGCCCGAAAATTAAAAATGTGTGTGAAAAGTAAAATAAGATGTGTGGATATCACATCCCTTCCTGTTTTTGTGTGGAATATAAAATAGATGAATCGCATGCATTATTTTTCACATGCTGAGTCCTAATCTCGTTTGACAATGGTGACTAAACAAGTGATATCAATGAAATTTTCAAGTTAAAATTTAAGTTAAATCAGTTAGTTGGGACAACGTTCATCTATTTTGTATCAAAGTCTAAATTGTGTTTTTCGCTAGTATAAGTATCTTAGAGTATCATCTTGTCGAGAAAAAAAAAACTTCATTTAAAAATATAGAATCGTATAGTAATTTTCCTTTGATTTACGGCCGCCTTGTTATTTGCCTCTTGGACTGTTAATTTTATTTTATATTTTTTGGTAAAATTTTCGACTGTTAATTTGGTTTTGAGCTCCACTAGTCTTCTTAAACGTTCCAATTTTTTCTGTTTAAAGTTATACTAAAAATGTTACAAATGTAGCAGTTACGATAAATAAACACATTTTAAAAGGTAATGAAAGTTTTGGGGGACATTGCTACAACAGTAGGTAACGAATTTGATTGTAACCTTTGGATGAATGGCTCTGATTGGTTCCAGTACACTCGTGAGCTCAACATCTGAAGGCCCACGCACGTGGCAACATCTGGTGGAGCACTGTCACATCGCCAACAAAGCCGTCACCGTTTGATTTATGCCTCCGTCGGCCTAACTGCCCTAACCTAACAGCAATTTTCGCGCCACTTTCGGTGGGTGCGTGAAATTTCTAATGGCTTACGGAGGTTGGTGACCAATGCATAAAGATAGTTGCTAATTAATCATTAACACGTGTATTTAAGAGAGCCGGTAATTGTGTTGACGTGGCATGTACAATTTAGTCATTTTAACTACGTTGGTTGAGTGGCATGTTGGTGAAACTCATGTAATGGGAGGTGGGTTAAACTCAAACTAGTTTGATTTATCCTGATGAGGAGAAAAGTATAAGAAGAGAAGGTTGATTTTTAAGATTTGCGAATCAATATCAATGTTTTCAGATTCTCTTTCAAGGATTCTTAGGGCGAATGTCTACCTCTATCGCTCTTCTCTTTTTATTTTCCTTAATATGGAGAAATCAAACCCTGATTTGAGTTTACCTAAATCCTTCCCTCATGGGTCTGACTAATATAGTTGAAAATACTAAATTGTTTATGTCACGTTAGCACAATTAATGACTCGTTTTAACTTATTTGACGGAATATGATAAAATTGGACAACGAGAAATAGTACAAGTGTTAAAGTGAGACAATATAAATTGTAAGATATAAAGTGTGACATGAAGAAAAAGTACATGTGATAAAGTGAGTCAATAAAAAATGTAGGGGCTAAAATGAAATTTGATGAAGAGTACCGAAGTCATAGCTAAAAATAAGTCTTTAAATTATTGATGACCCATGTGAGATCCCACATCGTCCGGGAAAGAGGAGGTGATGTGTCTTATATGTACATGTCCACCTCTCTATAGTAAGACGCGTTTTGGGTGAAAGCCCAAGAACAAAACCGTGAGGGCGTGGCCCAAAACATACAATATCTTACTATGCAGACTGAGCTGTGACAATTTGGTATCAGAACCACTTCTCGCCCGGAAGTGTGCCGACGAGGGCGTCTAACCCCTAAGGGGGGTGGATTGTGAGATCCCACGTCGCCCAGGAGAGAAGAGGTGATGTGCCTTGTATGTACATGCCCACCTCCCTATAGTAAGACATGTTTTGGGTGGAAACCCAAGAACAAAACCGTGAAGGCGTGACCCAAAGTGGACAATATCTTACTATGCAAACTAAGATGTGACAACCTAGGCAATGAATTTAACACTAAAAAGCTGATTGCTCCATCTATGAATAACAATTGAAAATGTAACTAACAATACCAACTTCAAAATCCTAAGAATTTATGCATAATCACACACGTAAGGAAGTACCTAATCCATTTGGACCATTGCCCTTTCATTGTCATTAGCAAATCTCTCGTTAAAGAAATAACCTGCAAGTAATGCGATTTTTTGGTGCACATTAATACGTATTAAGTACGAACACTAATAACTAACTCATCAGACAGTGTAAAACTTTTAAAATGGGTACACACCACTTAATTGGCCAAATTTAGTGGTTAAAACGTAGCCTTTATTTAAAAGGATTCTCAATTTTTTTGTAAAAATGAGAACTAGTTATACATCGAACTTTTCCAAATGGTCTTTTTTTAAGTCTTCATTCCTAGATCTTGCTTGGAGTAATCAATTCAATCCGAACTCATTTACTCATTTGATTGACATGATGAAATTTCAATGTTTTTTTTTTAACGAAAACGATAGATGATTCTCATTCATAAACATAGATCATTACTGAAGCCAATCATGGCTTGGGAGTATCCTCAATGCGGATGTCAATGATCAAATTCGGTGGCGAATCCATCAAACTACATTCATCAACAACTACAAGACCGTATCTAGCTAGTTGGTGAGCAACCTCATTGGCTTGGTGGCGAGAAAGGGAAAAAGAAGCCTCATTGATCGTAGAAAACAATGCCTTGATGTCCTTGGTAATCTGACCAACTGGGGAAAGTTTAGTCGAGGTATCCTTCTGTGCTTCTATAATCTGAAGTGAATCAGATTCAAAGATAATATTTTGAAATCCCCTTGATCTCGCCCAAACCAAAGTCGAACGAATCGTCGTTGCCTTCGTCTAAAGGGGAGTTAGATAAAGAATCAATTGTCAATATGAAAAGTAGCTTAACCTCTTAGAAATCTATACAAGGTCTCTCATCCTATCAATATGAGATTCATTCTCAAACGCCCTGTCACGTATGAGAAATTTTCAAGCCAAACAAGTGAACAACACAAACAGGGTGACGTGGAATGTGTGTTGATGTTGGGCTTCATACGTGAGACAACATGTTCTAATATTACGAAGAAGTTGAGGTTCCACCATAAAACTAATTGGCAATATAAGGAGTTGGGCAACTCCTTATAAGTCTTTGCATAATTTGATTTCTCACCAACGTGAAACTTTGTCCTAACATTCTCACATTCCACTGTTTAATACCCATTGCATATAAAAAAATGAAAAGAAACTAATGGAACAAATTGTTTTTATGTGACTTGAAAATGGTAATGTGCACGCACTGATTGATAATTGGAATTAGGATTGAGCAGCATTTGACTATCTATTTATCAAATTCGATTACTGGAGTTGTTGTCCATCTACACATCATTACCTCGCAAGAAAAGTGACAAAAAATATTCCCCAAACTTTGAAATTTAAAAAATAGGAAAAATACAAATTTCTTTTTGGTACGTAATTAGAAGTTTGAACAAAACGATAAAGATAGAAAACTACAAGAACCTAGTTGTTCGTTTCATCGTGGCTAGAAGAAAAAAAAAATAGTAGAGAAATAGTGTTGATATTCTCTCAAAAGTTAGGACTTTTTTTTGAATTTTTTTGTCACCTTATATTTTTAGGAAAACTAATGAAAAGGGCTTGAAAACTTTGAGTTTTAATGATAAGGACAAAATAAAGGGTAAAGTGAATAGTACCATGATTGACTTTTTAGTGTAAAAATGTGGTTTTTCGTTAAAGTGAACAGTACCGGGAGCTTTTCGTTAAAGTTCCCTATATTTTTAGCATAACGTTGTATGATATTGGCACACTATAAAAAGAAACTAGCTAGTGGCTTCGCAACGTTAATTTACAATTCCGGATGTTGAAAAGACTTACATAAGCATTTCAGTTCCTTCTCAAAATCACAAGGTGCTGAAGTGGCAAGATAGGGACCCGTAGGTTTATGTTAAAGGGATGCTCTTATCATATTATTGCTAAAAAGAAAAACCGAATCCTCTATTTGATATCGATTCATCCACGCTTCCAATCTTTGTAGAGGAAGGCTAATTGCTTATCATCGTGTGATTTACAACTTAAGAATCGAGCTTAAAACGTGCCGTGAGAAATACGGGTTTAAAATTCATCCCCAACCACTAGATCACTAATGGTCGTTCCTTTGCAAGTTTAAATTAGACAGAGTCCTTATCTGTATCACAAAAATAAACAACTTTTTATAATTTTTTATGGTCACAATCTATTAAGAATTGTTAATGATTTACTAACTTTTACGCACATAATATTTAAATGACGGTCAATAACGAACAAAATTCTTATTCTAATATCTCTACAATTAAAATACGTTAACCACAGCCGAATAAACAAAACAATACGACGCAAGATGAAGTTGACGCGCAAATATTTTCTCCATAAAATATGCCTAAAAATGAATAACAAATTATCGAGCACACCAACTGCACCACCAGCGTTAGGCAAAATTAATCAAAAATTAATCAAACACTAATTAACTAATAATATTTAGCTTCGTCTTCGGCTTCCCTTATCGTCTTCATCTCTCGGTCTTCTCCAAAATCCACATTTCCACATGCATCCTCCTCTTCCCCCGCTACAAAATAAGAGTGTATTTTTGCTCACTATCATTATTTAATGTGGTATATGCTTATAATCCTATTTATTATTATTAGATGAGTTTGAATATTGAGATTTGTGCCTATCCATTATATGAATCTTGAAACTCAAACTCATTTAACGGTGATAAATACCACACTAAATGGTGGTAGGCAAAAATGCTCTCCATTGGCTCGAGAGATTTTTCAATGTAAGCGTCACATAAGATGGTACACCATATGTCCTCATATAAATGGTGGGTTATATGTGTTAAAATGTTAATAACTTAAAAATTAAAATTTTTCACCGCTTACATAATAAAGTGTGAAAATTTCTCCATTGGCTCTTCCTTTTCTTCTCCACCAATAAACAAATCATGATTATTTTACTCATGGCTTCCTAACCTCCCTCTGCATGTGGCCATGCTGCTCGCCCAAGCAAAGCCCAGCTCATCATCTATCTCCATCACCATCATAACTTCGCCACCACCACCATCATAACTTCGCCACCACTACCATCATTGCACCCCACCTGTTTGCGGATTTATCCCAATGGAACTGTCTCTGAAACCCCAGCAATTCGTCTTGTGTTCCCAAACGGCCCAGCTCTGAAAGTTGGGTTTTGCTGCAGGGAGCAAGAAGGGGAGATTTCAAGAGTTGGGTTTGTTTTTGCCATGTTTATGGTGTGATCTGAAGCAAAAAGTAAGTTTTTTTGTGCTGATTTTATGTGAACGTGATGGGAATTAATAAAGTAAATAGTGGGATTTTCTTGGCGGCCTAACAAAGTAGGTGGAAATTAGGAAAATATTGCTTTTCATCTCCTCCTGATTCAAAGTTTCAAACTTACTAGAAGTCTAGAACTGCTTTTTTTGACTGGAGCTCCAAATTTAAGGATTTGGGATTTAAATTGTCATACATTGATGATGTCTTTTAGAATTTTCGCCCTACGTTTTATGATCATAGCAAAATACATTTACTAATGTTTCTAATGAGTTTCTGATTCTGTTAATTGTGATTTTTTTAATCCAACTTCATGGTGTAGTTGTGACCAAGACTGCAGAAGCAGTTTGTGTTAGGATTGCTTGAGAAGATGGGGAAAAGATTAGAGCTTTTGGTCGTTTTGTTCATTGGGGTAATTTTCTTGCATGTCACTGCGGACCCAGTTGAAGATAAGCAAGCTTTGTTGGATTTCATTCACAATATTTCTCACTCGCGCTCTATCAAATGGAATGAGAATTCTTCTGTTTGCGAAACCTGGAACGGCGTGATCTGTAGCGAAGATCAGTCCAGAGTTATAGAGCTTCATTTGCCTGGAGCTGCCTTACTTGGTCCAATCCCACCGAACACTCTCAGCCGGCTTTCGGCGCTTCTGGTTCTAAGTCTAAGGTTGAATAGCTTGACAGGTCCATTCCCTTCTGATTTTAACAAACTCGAAAACTTGTCTTCCCTTTATCTTCAATTCAATAACTTCTCTGGCCCTTTGCCTTTAAATTTTTCGGTTTGGAAGAATCTTACTGTCATGAATCTGTCAAACAATGCATTTAGTGGGAATATCCCTTCCTCGATTTCAAATTTGACTCACCTCACAGTTCTGAATCTCGCTAACAATTCGCTTTCGGGTGAAATTCCTGACCTCAATGTTCCTAGTTTGGAACAGCTTGATTTGGCTAACAATAACCTCTCAGGGATTGTTCCTCAATCTCTTCAAAGATTTCCAAGTTGGGCCTTTTCAGGCAACAGTCTGGCATCAGCCCTTCCTCCAGCTCTTCCTGTTGAACCACCTAATTCTCAACCAAGAAAGAAAACGAGAATCAGTCAGCCTGCAATACTAGGTATTGTGATCGGCGGATGTGTTCTGGGATTCGTTCTAATTGCTTTTTTTATGCTCGTTTGCTGCCGCAATAAGGAAGGCGAAAATGGGAAAGTTGAAAAACCAAAGAAGAAAGAACTCTTTTCAAAGAAAGGGGTTTCTGAGAAGCAAAATAAGGATACCAAGCTTTCCTTCTTTGAGGGTTCTAATCTTGCATTTGATCTGGACGATTTGTTGAGGGCATCTGCTGAGGTTCTTGGCAAGGGAACGTTCGGGACAACATATAAGGCTGCTTTGGAAGATGCAACCAATGCAACCACTGTTGTGGTGAAGAGGTTGAAGGAAGTGAGTGTGGGAAAGAAGGAATTTGAGCAGCAAATGGAGATTGTGGGAAGTATCAAGCATGAGAATGTAGCCGCACTAAGGGCGTATTACTATTCGAAAGATGAGAAGCTTGTTGTGTATGATTACTATGAGCAGGGAAGCGCCTCTTCGATGTTACATGGTATATAAGCACTTCTCTCTACTTTTCGATTCATTTGCATCAGAGTTTTTAGTTATATTCACCGGAAACAATTAGAACACAACTAATTTCTTAGTGTTTATGCATCTTTAATCTTGCAGCTAAAAGAGGAGAAGGCAGGATTCCGCTTAACTGGGAGACTCGACTCAAAATATCAATTGGTGCAGCAAGAGGCATAGCTCATATCCACACTCAGAACGCTGGGAAACTTGTCCATGGAAACATAAAGGCCTCAAACATCTTCCTCAATTCTCAAGGATACGGTTGTGTGTGCGATGTTGGTTTGCCAACACTGATGAGTCCAATACCCCCACCAGCAGTGCGTACAGGAGGATACCGAGCCCCAGAAGTGACAGACACCCGCAAGTCTACCCCTGCATCAGATGTCTACAGCTTCGGGGTCCTGATACTCGAGCTTCTCACCGGTAAAAGCCCCATCCACACAACAGACGGGGAAGAAGTTATTCACTTGGTGAGGTGGGTGAACTCTGTGGTCAGAGAGGAATGGACGGCAGAAGTGTTCGATGTAGAGCTTTTAAAGTATCCCAACATAGAGGAGGAAATGGTAGAGATGTTACAAATAGGAATGTCTTGCGTCGCAAGAATGCCGGAGCAACGACCAAAGATGCAGGATGTGGTGAAAAGGGTGGAGGAAATTCGTCAAGTAAACACCGGAACTCGACCATCATCAGGAATTTCGACTCCAATCTTAAATACGCCGCCTCCTCCATTGGAGATAGCAGGACCTTCCTCTGTAACCCAGTGAATTACTTTCGTAGTTCTTTGTTAAGATAATCATATGCTTCATTGATCACTAATAAACACGCTGCCTCCGTGTGAGATATTGAGGCAGTGCAGTGAAGAACTATAGGTTGTGGTTTCATATCGGTTAGGGTTTTGGTGTCGACGAATTCAATCATATAACCTGTTTTTCAGTCAATTTTCCGACTCTACACATCTCGGTCTTCAAATTTACCGATCCCCATAGCCGAAGCAAAATCTGGTTCGACCTGAATTGCTTATTAACAAGAAAGGAACAGGAGACCTGCGCTGAAGGCAAATGTCTGCAATTGCAAACAGTTTTAGATGGATTTTCGGAATCTACATACAATGTCAATTCGATGATTTCATACATCCAGATAAAACTGGTTTGAAGTCAGAAAAAATTACATGTATCTTTCTTTGGTATAAGAATCACACAGAAATGAGATCAAAATACAACGCTGTCCTCACAGGGTCGGACTATGCTGAGCAGAACCTGGCCATGCCATAGCTAAACAATCATTCATGTTCTGATGACAGAGCCGATATCTTGCCGAGTTTAAGAAACACGGCAAATCTAATCTGCAGTCACTTGTTCAAAATTTTTGTTCTAACACCCCCTGAAATTCATATAAACAGATACGATTTGGGGTCACATTATCCAGCGTAATCATTTACCGGAGCTAATAGGGAATAGATGGGAAAATTGGAAGTGGCAAAATCGTAAACAAGAAAGGTACCAGACCTTCAACTTCCTCAAACTGAACCTCCTTCACGAATTCCGCAGTTGCATTATACTCAAAACTGCAAAATTGTATATAACACGCATTCCGTTACAACATATACATTACAATGCTAATGTAGTTGGCAAATAACAAAACTAAAGGAATGCCGAGTATTAGGTCCTCCACCGAAAAAGTAAAACTGAACCTAAAAACGATGCTTTCAATCCTTAAACTCTTATATCATGAAGATTCTAAGAACAGGCAGCCTCCAACAAGCAACATCTTTCCTTTTCTCTTTCTTTTTTCTTTTCCAGAATAAAGCAAAGCTAACATAGATGCCGCATTTGCAATATCCTACATGTTGCCCTCTCGGAAAGTAAAGCTGATATTCCCGTCCCATGGCATCTAACGAGTGGTAAGCTGATACTCCCATCCCATAGCATCTAAGGAGTGATAAGGACGGGGTTACACGCTGCACTCAGAAATGAATCTATTGACTCTCTACGATTGGCTGTAGGTGTGACAGACACGAAGAATAGTCCGATACAAATATAAAAACAAAAAGATTGTGTGTAAGATTCCACATCGTCCAGGGGAGTGATTCTTATATGTATATTCTCATCCCTACCTAGCATGAGGCTTTTTGGGAGCTTATTGGCTTCGAGTTCCATCGGAACTCCGAAGTTAAGCGAGTAGCACGCGAGAGCAATCCCATGATGGGTAACCCACTAGGAAGTTCTCGTGTGAGTTCCTAGAAAAAAAACCGTGAGGGCGTAGTCGAGGTCCAAAGCGAACAATATCGTGCTATGGTGGTAGAGCGGGCCCGGGATGTGACAGATTGGTATCAGAGCCTAATTGTGGTCGTGGTGTGCCGACGAGGTCGTCGGGCCCTTAAGGGGGTGGATTGTAAGATCTCACATCGTCCAGGGAAGTGATCCTTATATGTATATTCTCATCCCTACCTAACATGAGGCCTGTTGGGAGCTCACTAGCTTCGAGTTCCGAAGTTAAGCGAGTAGTGCGCGAGAGCAATCCCATGATGGGTGACCCACTGGGAATTTCTCGTGTGAGTTCCTAGAAACAAAACCGTGAGAGCGTAGTCCGGACCCAAAGCAGACAATATCGTGCTACGGTAGTGGAGCGGGCCCGGGATGTGGTGGACCCCGGGCCGGGATGTGACATTGTGGCTGTGGAAACTTGTCTAAGATACCCAAATGCATAAGCTACAAATGAACATGGCTGAAAGATAAACCAATCCACAATGCAATCAATCTCGAGCTTCCTAACTATCCGTCTAACACGAAAGGCAATCAAAAATCATAATAAGAAGCATAAATTTGCATTTACCTGTTAGCGAAACAAACATTGAGTTCGTAATCAGAAGCACTCTTAGTAGCTTCAACTAAGACAGTAACAATTTCCGTCTTGCGAGTACTGGCCATCAGCACATCATACTCCGTAGGAATGATAATCGCGAAAAAATTATCGCTCAATTCGCTCAAGCACATCTTCTCCACAGCTGCAAGAGCTATCCTCCGTTTAAGCGCATCGGCAACCGGGTCAACAATGTAGATGGCGAAGTCAGTGATCATCAAAATGCGGCGTTTCATCTTCCCGGAAGCAGTAAACTTCAAGACCTTATCGGCGAACAGAACCTCCTTGTCACCTGCAAAATCCAATGCCAATGGAATTCAAACAAATGATTGCAATTTCTAAACCCTAAACCAAACACAGGAATTGGATATCCCAATTCTTCATCCCATTCAACACCAAAAAAACAAACGAGAACGAATTCAAAACAATTGAAGTTTGATTTACCAAAATCGAATACAAAAATCGAAAATTTGATGAAAAAATTGAAGACCTTGTTTCTGCAAGACTTTCATCAGGTACGGATTGGAGCGGACGTCGATGTAGTCGCCTCTGTATTCTCTGCGAAACGAAGCTTTTCTGCGGACCTTGACTCCCATGAAAGGCTCCTGATCTTCGGTCACGTTGCCACCGGACGGCCTTATCCGCGTTCGGCCACTACCTTCTCCGTCGTCGTTTTGGCCGTCCAGGGCGTCCGAGGGGTCCTCTTCTTCTTCATCCGCCACGTCGTACTTGGGAATATCGGGTTTGGATTCGGCCACTTGGACCCGCCTCGAAACCTTAAACCGCTCCATTTTCCGGCGTCGATAGAGAATCAGACGGTGAGAGAAGCGGAGCGAGGTGGCGTGCGCGCGTAGTGGTGAACGCTAACTTGCTCCGGATGTGCGCTGCGCACCATGTGCCGCAGGGGGGACGCGGGTGGTGAGTTGGATTCTCGAATCTCTAAGTAATCATCCAATCTACGCCAACAGCGCACGTTAGCCACGTCGATCATTGGGTCCCTTGGTAGTTGGTAACAGTGAGATCTTCTGCGACGGTGCGACCAGCTGAGGCACTGGGGGACCCACGCGTAAATCCACCGTCTATCTGATAAGAGCAAGAGGGCACAGTGGTTTCCCTCGTAATCGCCGTCCATTCTCGCGCGCTGGTGGATCGCAGTAACGTGTAGGACCAACTTTCATCAAGTGGATGAAATTCATGAATTTTTTTTTTAAATTTTTCTTACAGAAAAAGATAGAACTTCAATATAGGAAAAAACCTACAACATGAGTGTAACATGACGAGCACATTATTGACTAACGCTTATTTTGGTTTTGGTTTTGGTTTTGTGTTGCAAGCTGAATTAGAAGCGATTTTTCATGGATTAGGAGTGGCTTTTCTACAAAATTGGTTTCCTCTTGTTATTGAGTCTAATTTTAAAATTACAATGGATATGCATCATTGGAGGATTCGGCACTCTATAGAACAGGGAACTATGTTACATATAAATTAGTGAGATTTGGCCTTTCTTTGGAGTATGGTTTTCATATTTTTGAGGTTCCTACATGTGGTGTTTGTGGTTTAGTTTATGAAGATTTACGAGGTTGCAAGATTCATATTTGTTTAGTTGTTTTTGTTTTTTGTGGTTATACCGTTTATTGCTAAAAAAAATTGAGCCATTCTAATTAAAAATTATATTGTGATTTACACACCAATGAGTGATTAACATTATATTAATTTACTAACGAGTTAGCTTATATAATTTACTTCAAATATAATCTCAAATATTGGACCCACCGATCCAATCATCGATCTCCGTCCGTATGGTTGACCAATGGTCAAAAACATTTAACCAATGGGCCAATTGGCGGCAAACAAATAGACCAAGTCGTTTCCAGCCGTTCAACTAACGCGCCTATTGACTTTTTACCGGGAGCAGGAAGCGACGTCGTCTTATCGAATAGACTTTCGGCGCCAAAATAAAAAATAAAAACCCAAAAGAAAAAAAAATGAAAAGGAAGGAGCGTGCGATAATCGTAAAGAGAACGCCAAGTGGGACCCAGACAGACGGAATAGAATTTAAGCCAATCAACAGCAAGTCAACAACAGGTCGATTCCAGAAGGAGGGCGGACCGCAGAAGCATTTTATAAGAAGTCGTTTCCCCCATCGGCAAAAATCAATCGCATTTCCCTACCTCTTCCGATTCCGTTTCCGCTTCAATCGAATTCGATTCTCCGTCGTCGTCTCCGTCTTCGTTTTCTCTCCCTGTAACTCTTCCAATCAGGTACGAATACGATCTCTTCTTCTTCTTCTGTGAGAGAGAGAATTGAGCTGCGTTTTTAGGTGTGTAAGCTGTTTGTTGTGTTGCGTGGCTTTTGGTTATGGATTTTGATCTGTTGGTGTTGATTAATCTAGGTTTTCGCAGATGGCGTCCAAGCGGATCTTGAAAGAACTCAAAGATCTGCAGAAGGATCCTCCTACGTCCTGCAGCGCCGGTAATCTCATCTTCCCGTTGTGAATTTTGAATCTGTGTAGATGCTAGCTTGAAATTTCATCTTTTAATTCATCACTTTCGTCAAATTATACCGCCGGTTATGATCATCTGGTGCTCTGTAGATGTTTGGTTGTCACTTTGCAATGAATAGTATGCGAAATTGAATTCCGTAATTTATATAGGGTGTAAATTTGTATGGGAAATCGAAACTTCTGTGAATTAGTTTTCTGGATCAGAATTAGTGTAAGCACGCATGTCGTAATTCGTGTTGGTGATGCGCTGCCCGTGCTGAGATTAGAATTGTGGCAGATAAGTAAAGAAGAATGTTTGTCATAGCAGTAGGTGCTTTTCATCATTTAACTGCCCTCCTCTAATGATTTGTGTTCTTGTGTAACGAATATGCGTGCTTAATGCTTTGCTCTGCGTATATAAAACACATATTGATGTGCTCATAAACTTTGTAACTTTTGCATTTGACTAATGTTCTCGCTTCTCACTATTGCTGTTGTACCGTTCATGAACCATGGTTTGGCGTACCATTCTTGGGCAAGCTCGTGAAGAACTTGCTTAGCTAGCTAAAAGTGATACCGGGTTTAAGTGATTTTGTACGCGCCATTTCTGGAAATTTTCACCCTTTCCAAATTGTATTGGATTATATTGATCCGGCTTGGCTACGTGGTCAGATGTTCAGATTATGACGTCGTCTGCTGCTGGATTATCCAGTCCGGTCAGGGGCTTTACATATGACCGGCGGGTTTAAATTGTGAAGTTTGCTCAACATGCAAAAACAGTCAAAATGGTTGTTACTCTTCCTGCACCGCATATGGAAGTCACTCGAATATATAATCTCATTTGCAAATGCTTCTTTTTCGCTTTACGATTATGCATGAATGCCTCAGAAGATACACATGTGTATTTTTACATAGGCAAACAGTTGTTTTCAGGACAGATAACGTCCTTTTAAGATCTTTCTTGTGCTATTCGAACTAAGACCTTGTTTAAGCAAACTGTAAAAGTCCTGTTCCATTTCCTTCTGTATTTTATCATTTCATTAATTCTTGCCTTGTTTTCTTTGGGGATATTGCAGGTCCTGTTGCCGAAGACATGTTCCACTGGCAAGCAACAATAATGGGTCCCCCCGACAGTCCATATGCTGGGGGTGTTTTCCTAGTTACTATCCATTTTCCTCCAGATTATCCCTTTAAGCCACCAAAGGTACTACTAAACTATCCAATTCTAGCAATGAAGTGTTTTTATCTTTGAACTTCAGTGGTCGACATGATTCATTTTCTCTCCATTATCCCTGGAAACATTGGAAATTTTAACCAATGATGCGATGGATTTAAGCTGGGGTTTGAACTTTAATTAATCATGTTATAGTAACTTACCGATTTTGTCAGAGTCGTCTTCTTTCTTCCACCCTTGGCACAACTTCTACTTTGAATACCCATATTGTGAACCGTTTTTCGTAGTTGCACAAAGTTTTCTTCGTCTACCAATACCTTTTCAACGACCACCAGCACTTGTTGGTGCATCCATTACCCCTCAGGTTCAGTAATTGTACTGAGAAAAGCTACTGCATGTCTCCAACTCTTCCAGAAGAGGAGACTACGAGGGGACGTATACTTTTATAGAAAACAAAAACAAGTCTGTTGTAGATGCTTTTCCACCATATAGCAGAATTACCCTTGCATTCTTCGTTTTCATCATTCAATAATGTGTAGTTCTTCCAATGATGGAGTTCTGGTTCCCTCTTTTTGTCTCCGTCACTGATGCCGTGATGGTTCTGTAGGTGGCATTTAGAACGAAAGTATTCCACCCTAACATAAACAGCAACGGAAGCATTTGCCTTGACATCTTGAAGGAGCAGTGGAGTCCCGCTCTAACTATTTCCAAGGTATTGTATCGTGGTCCCGAAAAGCGAAGGCTCCAACGTAGAAAATACAAAAAACCATTCGTTCTAGAAATCAAGTTATTCATTGGAAACAAATCTTATTCGCACCGGTCTGTTTACATTATAAGTTACCGTTGTTAATTTTTTGCCATCAGGTGTTGCTTTCCATCTGTTCTCTGTTGACGGACCCAAACCCCGATGATCCGTTGGTGCCGGAGATTGCTCACATGTACAAGACGGACAGGAATAAATACGAGACGACAGCGAGGAGCTGGACCCAGAAATACGCCATGGGCTAAAAGATCGCGTGGTACGTGCCGTATGAGGCTTCTTCTATCTTTCTCGTGTTTGAGTTTGTGTAATGCCTTGAATCCCAAGAAAATTGGACTAAAATGAATAGAGTTCCGTAACATGTCCTCTTGATTTAAAAAAAAAAAAATGAAAGAAAAGCCAACGCATGTTGCTTTTTTTAATTGTTTGTATGGATAATGTGGATCTTTTAGAACAAATGATTTGTGTCTCCGATTTCGTTGTTTATAGTTTAGATAAATTGGGCCTGGGCTTTATAATTTGTAATGGGCTTGGGCCGAAGCAAAATTAAATTCACAAACTAAAACAAGGGACACGAGTCCGACATCGGATAATACGCCTCAATAAATCTTGTCCCCTTAGGAAGGGGGGCACCCGAAGCCCATCGAACAAATATATAAATTAAAATTGAATTTACGATTAATACCAACTCGAATACACTGGATCCCATTTGAACTCAGCTTTTAAGCAAGTTCGGGCTCTTAACTTCGAATTTAAGCGAGATTGGGTGAGACAATACTAAGATAGGTGATCTCTTGGGAAGTCCTTGCCTTGCATATTATAGGTTGTAATGACTATTAACAAACAGGAGATTATATGTATCTTATGGTTATGTGAGATTGTAATTTATAAATTGTTTGCTGGCATGAAATTTTACTTAATTGAAACTGAGTTCTATTCGATTTAATGAACTTTTTATGTTCCGAAAAATTTAAGCTTTCAATTGAATTAGAATGCATGAAATGTGTGAATGTTTAGAAGATTAAAACTCTTGAAATGTTGAACATTTTTATATATGTGTTGAATAGACTCAAAGCGACCGAACTAAACTGAATTAAATCGATTAAGAATGGCTTGGTTCAGTTCGGTTTCAATGTCGGCATTTGTCAAAAATCGAACCAAACTGAACCGTTGAATACTAGTTGATTTGGTTATAATTTTTAGGTCAACCCAAATCAAACCAATCCCAGTCCACCACTATCAAGTGGACATCATTTAAATTTTGAACAATGCAATGAAGATTAGTATGACCCATGAACAAGAAAACACATATAAATCGAGAAATTGTCTGAATTTTTTTATGCCCATTTTTCTCTTGATCTTTGTCATGGTGTTCAATGTGTTTACATCAATCGAAAAGAGAGAATTAAATGTACTTTTGACATAAGTAGCATTAATTCGAATAGACTGAAAAGTTCAAAACATCCACCTTCGAATATAGCAGCAACAAATAACCTGTTAGATTCGATAAGAGCCCAACCCAAAATCTAAAATCTTTAGATTTGGGTCATGCTGGACCAACCAGTTTTACATCCTTGAAAACCTAATTAGGTTTGTTGGGCTGTATCCATAAAAGCATTGGATTGATAACGTCCATTCCATTGTGTAAATTGTAGCCACGCTAATTAGATTAGGTCAGTTAGTCAAGAGAGTACGTCAATTCTCAGGTTGAGACCTATCGTTTAGATAGATTGGGATAGAGTTATCCTACTATTTATGTAAAACGATTTTTGATTTATCGGAACAATAGTTTTGCCATCTCTTAATAGGGTTTTCAATGAGGAACCGCGGAAATTAGTAATGTGTAAGAATAAATTGGTAATGAAGGTTGTGGATACACTTCTTGGTAACGAAATTTGCGGACAACCAACAAGGAACGCTCAAGATAGGGTTTACAAGGAGGGAGGTTTTATGAGACTATGTGTGGTAAACGAGCCGATTATTCAGGTCACTGTTTCAATGCAATAGGTCCGTCACCTTCATTACATTGAGATAGGTACATTGCCTTGCTAAATACCTGTAGAGCTAATTAGCTTGAATCCATTTCATGTAAATTCAAGTAATTTTAGTTAGAAAAAAAAATGCTAAGGTGATGAGACTCTTCATGGACTATCTATCATCTTACAGTTTAACATCAATTTCTGTGTCAACATTATAAAACATTATGATAACAACATCAGGTGACAGAAAGTTCACGAAAAATCCCGATTTTAAAAGAGTTTCCTTCGTATTGCATGTTTCATGCTAAGAGTCAAACTTATCGGCATAGGCATTAATCACACAGCAAATTGTCCACTCAACTCATCAAGGGTCACAATCACTCATAACCTCGCAGGAAAACTCAGATCAATCTCGATCAAGGTGGCCACAAATGATAAGATTAATTAATATAGTGGTAACTGAACCTGGATTGATGTATTAATCTTGGTTTTAGTCATACTTCCTCGAGCGTTTACTCTGTCGTGGGATCTTAATATTTCTAATTAGAAGGATTTGTTATCAACATATTATTTTAAATATCGTATTGAAATTGGACAACAATTCTTGAAAGAGAAATGTTAAGAAGATTATTTCAAAAGTGAAATTCTTTATGGATTCTCGATCATCTCACCCCTTAACATCAATTCACGTGCCAACATTATAAAATATTATATCAAAACATGAGATAACATATAGTTCATAAAATGTTCAACTTTTAAAAAATTACCTTAACATTTCTTTTCCAAAAATAAAGATATAGATGAAGCCCCAGAAGGGACAGAGATTCCAGCCGAATCTCACCCTACCAAATCCTAAGGATTCGGAGATCCGGACCGTTGAAATTTAATCCAACGGCTACAAACAGGGGGCCTCTAAAAGTGATAATAATTATAGCCGTTAGATCAAATTTCAACGATCCAAATCTCCAGATCCTTAGAACTTGGTGGGGGAGATCCGGCTGGGATCTATGTCCCCCCAAAAGGTCGCAAAAGAAGAACAATGCCTAGGAATGCAAAAACCAATTTAATACGTTCAACTTCCCATAAATATAGTATATATGTGTATATGCCCCTTCGAAATTTAGGTGCCATAAAATTAATACCCTTTGAATTTTAGGTGCCATAAAATTGATAAACTTAAAAAATGGACATGGTGACCCATGTTGAAGAGAGATTTTTTAATATGTCAAAAACACTAGTATGTTATATGTTATTATATAAGTAGAGAGAAATTTTCTTTTTAAATGTTTTTCTACTTATATAATAGAATATGACGTACGTGTTTCTGTTCCAGGTACACTAAAATGTCTCTCCATGTTGCACATAATTTGTGTATTTGGAAAGGAAATTACAAGTGTCAAATCGTCATCCATGCATGAATTTGAGTCCAAAGCCTAACTCAAAGAATAAAATAAATCCGGCAAAAGGGTCGTGCCCACGAGTGTGGGTGAGCATGGTCCCTAAAAATCTGGTTCATTATTTTTAGTTGGATTTAATCTTGATTAGTACCTTAGTTTTATGTACTTGGTGTCTCCTGTTTCTAACGCAGGCGAGATGCGACTTCTACTTCTTATTGACAAGATGATATTCTAACTTTGAAATATACGAAGAAAGAGATCTAAACTTGGGTACATCTACAAGATGCCACTCGAGCAAACTAGTCGAAATCACATCTACAAGAACTTTGATCTCAGATCTCAGATTTGTAGTATCACGAAAAGATTCTACATCTTACAAAAAAAAAGACCAAAAACATAAAAGAAATAGAGTTTTCTTGACGTACTTTGTTTTGTTTTTAAGAAAGACAAGACGTCTTGTACAAAACCGAACTAGTCTATCAGTGTGTGTCATGTTGAAGACTCGAAGGAAAGGAGAGAAACTATGACTTCCAGTTCCACTAGAGACTTTTTGGTGGAAGTTAGGTGCGTGTCATTTGTGAAGCTGCTGCTTGCCGCAGGAAAGCAAAACAGTTATCGAGCAGAACATGTCGATCAATAATTCAAATTCCAACCGCTTCTTAAACCACTAATGATGGTTCAGATGATTATTAAGCGCTAATCATTGTCTAATTTCGCACTAATAATATTCACTGAAAAAGAGCACCATAATTTGATAAAAATAGCAATTCATAGTACGAGAGGAAAGGCTCTCGTCTCATGCACTCCACCGAGTTTTCACAAAGAATATTGTTAGCTAAAAACTACAAATTATGGAAAGAAAATGCGAGTAACTGACTTGGACAAAAACATATACAAGTTCAATTTCTGTTTTCTTCTGGTTTATTTACTTAGAAAACTATAACTTGCAACTTTGCTTATTTTGTCTTAGAAAGGATACGATATTTACATTGATACCTTTACGAGTCGTAGCAAATTAATGTTTAACGTTGAGTTCACTATAAAGACATTGTTCTAGCGTAGGTAAAATTCATCATTCTTCTTTATGTTTGTGCAATTAGAAGTTGTATCTATATAATCTTGGTCTTATGTTATAGGGACAATAAAACTTATGCTCTACCAAATCCTTTTATACACTTATATTCCTAATTTTTTGGCTTTTCGAAATGAAAACCCATTATTCTAATTTCTAACCAAACCCATTTACTAATTTAAACGGGGTTTAATTCCACTTATTTATAAGTCCTTATAAGGTTTATCCTCTTGTCAATGTGAGATTCATTGTCAACATGCTGCTCACATGTGATGAATGTTCAAACAAAACATGTAGACAACACAAATGGGGTGACGTGGAACATGTGTGGTGTTAGGCTTCACATGTGGGGCAACATGTTTTGATATCATGAATGAAAGTGAGATTCCAGTATAAAACCAATTAATAATATGAAAAGTAGCTCATTTTACTTACAAACCCATACAAAATCCCTCGTTCCATTAATGTTAGATTCATTCTCAACAAATTGTAGACTAAAAGATGAAAACATGTTCCACCAAATCCCTTGCTTTGAGGCACAAAACAATTGCATTATTCATTTTACAAAACCCTCATTTCCCTCAATGTCAGAACATTTATAGATTCCACCCAATAAGCAAAAGTGCAAGTGTACAAATGAACTTCATCGTGCAAAATATCCTGCTCTTCTATATCTTAATTAATTAGGTAATTGTGTGCAAATTAATGTTTAAGTTGCAAATCTGAAGCGAGGCCACATCACCCCACATGGGGAAGCAAATGTGGCAGTTCCGGGGTCATCGTCAAGGCGCAAACGCCGCCGGTCACCGGTGATTGAACAGTGATCAGTGTCGGTAGGGTCCCCACTGGCTGGCTGAGCCGGTCACCCACTGTCGTCCAGTCTCGAGACAAATCTGCATTCCATGGGGCCATGGCCGATGTATCTCTGGATGTAGTTTCTCAAAAACTTTTCCACCATGCAGAAGATATTGTATTTAATGTTCAACTAAACAGTAGTTATTAATAATAATAATATAGAAAATTTGA